ATGCCGAGGTCGTCGACCAGGCGTCTGGGGAGTAGCGGCCTGTTGTGATTGGTTTATAGCCTGAGCGTCGCTTGACCGAGTGGGCGAAGGCATTGACGGTGGGCGATTCGTAGGTTCGTTTGTAGAGGGTTCAGCAAAGACAACTTCATAGCAGCCACTGTCTGGCGGCTGGCCGTCGAGACACAGGCCGGCTGCGGCCATACATTCATTAGTGGCTCTAAGGAGGGTGGTGGCAGAAGTCAAGAGCGCGTTATCGTCAGAGACAGCCGCGCTGTCCTCTAGAGGACCTGAAGTCGCGACACGAGCTGCAGTGACCAGACTGGTGGTCGCGAGATAGAGTTGCTCGCGCGCATCGCTCAATTCGGCGTAGGCAGCTGCTTTGTCCTGGTGCAAATGATCCTCTTTAGAGATCGATTCAACCAACACAAGCATCTCCCGCACTGTTTCAATCACGTCACGAGTCATGTCAATGAGATAAGCGTGACTGGAGGGATGGGCGGTTCTGGAGTGTATGTGAGCATGCCCAATGAAAACAGCCACGGTCGAGAGCACACAGTCATGTGATTGCTCAAGCAGTTCTAAAAGTTCAAAAGTCGTGTAACGTCCGTTGGTAGCCGGTCGACGGTATTGAGAAACAGGAGTCGAGGCTCGAGCAGGTGTGGAGGCTTCAGAAGATATCGAAGGCAAATAGGAATCTTGGCGAATGATCCTACGAGGTGAGGAGTAGATTGGCAAGCCAGACGGACCAATGCTCGACTTGCGCGGAGTCTGGGAAGACGTGCGCGATTCGAAATGACTGGTGGTGGTAGTGGCAGAAGTAGATGAGCCAGGGGTCCGAGTGTTTGAATTGGAAGTGGGCGGTAGCTCCTCGGGAGAAGTATCAAGGAAAGAGTCAGTTTGAGGTCGAGGTAGAGAGAGTAAGATCCCGACGCGTTGAGCAATGACCAGAAAGCGACGGACGCCGGATAGAATTTTGTCGGCGTATTTGGTGATTGAATCAAGCTCTTTACGAAACTGATCAAAGTGGGGCTCCTGGCCTGTGGTTGCGCTAGCTTTAGATCGCTTGGAATGTTCAAGATTGAGCTTGGAAGCCTTTTCGACGAGACCACCCAAGACCGAGAGGACATTCCTTCGTTCGCGGGCGAGGGCAGAATGAGCCTTCAAAATTGGCGAGTCTCGGTTCAGACATTGTGTAAGGTTGAGCATATTGCGCACAGCGGCGATGACATGAGCTGTGGCTGGTTGGACTGTAGGCAACCGACCGGCATGAATCTCACTCTTCAAGAGTTCGACTGCGTGGTGGATTAGATCCAGTGGAGCAGTGGAAGGACTACTTGTAGCAGCATGATCTCCAGGGTCTGCAGGATGATGAGATAGACCGTCCAGGGAGAGATTCGAGTTGAGGGGAGGGAACGAGACGGGAGAGCCGAAATTAAGGAAGGAGGTAGATAAAGAGGGTGACTGAATGCCGTCTTGGGTCGAAGCAGAGGAAGCAGACGCGACAGAGAGCATCGAAGCCTCGGACGGTCTCTAAAATGACAACCCAAGGTGAGGGATCGGTGCAAGAAGCGTGTCAGAGGTCGAGCGCGTCAACGCGGAAGCAGAGGAACAAAGGACAATTTACCCTGCGGGCCAGAGTCTCTTCTGCCAAGTTGGGGGCGGGATTGAGGGAGGTGACATAGTTACTCGGGAACCAACCGCGACTGGCAATGGTCAGCGATGGGTCGTCTTCGCGTTCGAGCGTCTCGCCATCCCACCAACCTGAACCATCTCGATTTAGTACGCGAATTACTTGGCCGGCGATGAAAGAGAGACAGGTATTCGAGCCCGAGTTGGCGGCAGCAAAGTCATGAAGAGCAACGACGAAATCATCAACCGGAACTTGAGATGGGAGCTCAGACGAAGAAGAGTCCATGTCGGAGCTAAGAGATGAAAGAAAAAAGGATTATAGGTGAAGAGTCAAAGAAGGTAAGTGAACCTATTTTTGATGCGGACTTGGGAAAAAAGGAGGCGAGCTGTTGTGAGAGATGGCTGAAGCAAGGGGTGAGATGGCACGAGGGACAAGATGGAAGGGGGGGTGTTTAATTGAGTTAGTGATCAGGATTAATCAAAAGCTGATCGAGAATCAGGATAATGAATGGTAAGCCGAGCCTTCGAACCAAAACAGTCAAGACCAAGGAAATTACAGAGAGTTTTGATACATGAGAAAGCATTAATTGAGCAAGTGAAATGAGTGACGAAAGCGTGTTTTGTGGTAAGGACTGTTGAAAGTAAAAGATAGGGTTGACTGCCTGGACAGAGGCGTTTGTATTATTGACGAGAAACGAAAGAAAGAGAGAGAGGAAGATGATGTAAGAACTGACTTTGAGTGAGAAGATTTGATTGGGCGTTCGTCGTCGTGGTGGCTTTTTTTGATTCGTGAATTGTGAGTGAGGTAAGTAAAAAAAGTCAGTGAAAGGGAGAAGGATAAGAGAAAAGAGTCAAAGAGAGGGAGTGGAAATGAGCATGTTCGATGGAGAAAAAAGGTGAGTGAAGCTGTTGATGGGACGAAAAGAGAAAGAGAGAAAATGAAGACGATGACCAAGACCCAAATAGATGACCAAGCAAAAAGCGTGTCCTAGATTAAAAGGGCGTGCGTGGTGGGACTAGTGGGTGTAGGGTGTACGGGTAGTGTGTGTGTGTGGACTCGGACATGCGAAAATATTTAGGAAATTGAGGAATGAACTGGGCAAGATTGGACGAGAGAATAAATAAATAAACTTACAAGTATACAGAAACACTTCAACAACAACAACAACCCCAAAAAAAAAGAAAAAAAATTAAAAAATTAAAAAAAAAAATGAAGAAGAGAGTAACGAAAGTGGATCTGTGAGATTCTGTTCTAGTACAAAAGTTCAGATCTATCGGATCAGCTCACTAGACCCAACTCGAAGGAAAAAAAAGAGTGTTTAATCTTGTCAAGAACATTTCCTAAACAAATCAGTTGGGATTTAAAGTACTACTTCTCTATCGAAAGACGAACAGCGGACGAGATTTTAGTGTGTGTGAGTGGTACATAAGGAAAAAAAAGAAAATATAAAGATAGATAAAATTCAGGCTTAAAACATTCGGGCACACAAGCATCACCACCACTCAAGAAACAATCAAGTCTATCATCATGTTTTTATTTATTTATTTATGTATGGATGTATCAACTCTCGTATTTATCTAACCAACTCATAATGATGACTATAGCACTTTGAGATTGACATCCTCTCCCACCCTATACACACGATTGACTTGTCATTCATTCACTCACAAGAACCTTTTCTCCACAGATATCCAAGTCCTTCACACAGACAACCTTTGTGATCTGAAAAATATTCAATTCAATCCTTCAACATGATTAAAATAATCATTTTATCAATTGGTGAATTTCACATAACACAAAATTCTCAGGTGGCGCAGAGTAGCTGGTGTGAAAAAAGTGTTAGGTAAGTACTTACAGTAAAACCTTTGGATCCTTTTTTTTTTTTTTTTTTTTTTTTTTTGGGGGGAAAAAAAAAAAAAAAAAAAAAAAAAAAAAATTATTTTAAAAAAAAAAAAAAAAAAAAAAAAAAAAAAAAAAAAAAAAAAACACTTTGAATAAACAAACTTTTTTTTTTTTTTTTCAGATTTCCATCAACGAAAGGCGCCATGCATAAATTATCGTGAAGAAAGAAAAAGAAAAGACGTTATTTATACAATAACGTAAGTACAGTACAGTACAGTCATAGGTGCCAAATTCCATAGATTTGGAACACGGTCTCAACAATACGTTATCACTTACATACAACTTACTATAGCAAACAGGGTCTTGATGACCTAAATTGAATTGGACCCTTGGTAACGGAGTACTAACTTTTGCTTTACATATTTATTTAAATCAGTGTATTCCGTAAACTAGATTACACAAAGACAGAACGTCAAGTCAAACCGGATCGGGGTTGGACTCCAACCAACAAGTTAGCATGGGTTAAAAAGCTTCCTTAGATATTGACCAAAAAGAGTCATCATCTTCTAAGAGAAACTTGGGACAATATACAAGTGGTCGAAAGTAACTCACCAGAAGATGAGGCTTTCGTTATTGAATTTCATCTTGTAGGCTTTTTTCTACAAGTGCTATCTGTTTATGAACCAGTGATGCACTAAAAAAAAAAAATTTGGACTCCAACCGTGATGGTGTAAAACGCCTTCCGATCCGGAAGCCATATTCTATAGAAGCTCTCTTCTTGACTGCTGTGCCGCAGTCGTGACAACCCCGGTCCGTAACACTTATGAACGCGGTCTTCCTCTACAGGGCATCTGCAGCCATTGCACTAACTTTGCACCAAGTTTACACTATAAGGTGCTTGCTTACACTAGGTCTCACCAGCTGGTGAAAAACCCCATTTTTTTTTTTTTTTTTTTTTCACACTTGTGATCACTAAAACCCCCACTAGTGTAATGTGGGTGGTACACATTGCAAATTTTTCACACTCATGGTATTGAGCACTACACTATGCTATGCACAGAACTCTTTCATTTCCATAGCCAACAAAAAGGAATTCAGAAAAGATACAATCCTCAACTTACTACTCTAAATCAAGGGAGATGAGTATTCATGGTCTAACATCCCCACCTTGGTGACTTTTGTGTGAATCTTGATAAAAAAAAAAAAAAATCAGTCAATCAGGCAATTTCATCCCATTTTGTTGGAGTTAATGGTTGTGGGGCATTGCTCAAGCTATCCATCAAAGGATTTGTCAAGTTTGATAGGGAGTGAGGGTGGGATG